CAAGTTTAATGGGGTCAACGCAAGATGTGTCAAAGAGTGATTTCTCGTGTGTCAGAGACTACCTAATTACATCATTGCTGGTAGACAATGCCTCAAGATCAGGAGCTATTGCCAGCCTGACAACTGACCATGTTGATGCTGCAAGGAAAGACGGGAACGGAATGCTGCTAACAGTTTATGACCACAAGACACTAACAACATGTGGCCCTGCAATACTCTGTGTGCAGTTAACTTTGTTCAATTACCTAAGCATTTTCATCACAAGAATCTGGGCTAATATCATGCGTATCACAAAGTCAGTGAGCAAGAATGTTTTTGTTAGCTTCACAGGTTTTCCTCTGTCGTCATCTGCAGTAAGTGAGCAGATTGCCTCTTTCTGGAAAAGTGCAACAGGGAAGCATATGAATGCATCACTTATGCGAAAATCGTGTGTTTCCATTGTGCATAACAAGCATCCTGAGTTGAAGTCGGATCTTGCTGCACATATGAATCATGCTTTAAAAACAGCAGAGAACACCTATTTTGTTGAAGACAAGCTGAAAAAATCAGCCAGAACTGCGGCTTGTTAAGGCAAGCTCTCCGAAGCAAAAGTGATGAACAGCCAAAAGAGGAACAAAGTGACTGTCCTTTCGGAAACAAACAAATTGAAGAAAATTCACCGAAAACATAAAAAACGGCCAAGTTACTATGGCTGATGTAAAAGAAGCCGCGCAAGAACACAGCAGTCTCCAAGGCAACGAGCGTGCAACATATTTCAGAGTCAGGTACTTGATCAACTCGAAAATACCTGATTTGCCAACTGATTTTGACACTGCTAGTCATCGGGTTCGCAGAATGATTTCTGGCAATGCACAAGAAACAAACGGCTGAAACATCACAGGTTTATGAATGCACAGATGAGCAAAATCTGGATAGTTTGTCTGTCGATTTAAGCAGCCAAATGAGCTCTGCTCGTTACTTGTATTCAAAGGAAGAGAATGATGTAATTGAAGCAGTCTTCAAAGACATTATAAATTCTAATGCAGCTGTTAGAGAAGATGTTGTATGTGCTATGTATAAGGAAACGAAGCAGTTATCACATTTATGCAAAAGGCCCATCTCAAAACAATTGGTTGACAAAGTTCGTTCCATGAGAAAAGCCAGACGTAGCAAGAGAAGATGAGCTGACTCTAAAAACTAAAGATTTGTTTAGACTTTCTTTAATTTTAACTTGAGTGTGATAAACAATATCAACAAGAGCATGTTTTGAATCGCCAATCATATTTAAACTTTTCCCCGTCTAGTCCTGTTTTTATGGAGTGTTTCCGCCCCTAAAGAATCCTTGTCTAAAGGAATCATATTGATTAACCATTAATTTTTTTCGCGCTTCAGACGTTGAAACTAGTAAAATCAGGAAGAGTAAGAATCTTCAAACGTTACTTAATGCATATATTGTACAATTTCGAAAAAATTTATGTAAACGAGTGATTGGTTAAAGGAGAGAGGGTGCTGAGACGATGGCGCATTTGAAGTGATACCAGTTATGGCATTTTTAAAGTCTCTAAATGGGTTAAGCTTGTTCAAATAAAAGCAGCCTCACATTTTTGACAATCATATAACAAAATCTTGAGCATAATTTGTTGAACTCTCTAAAGCTCAGAGGGCCTACATTATTTGTATTTTCGACTGTCCAAAACTTAAATTAGTATGCTATTTGTACAGAAACCATTTCATTGAAAGTTTCATCTAACGACTGGGGTTTTAGAGATGTTTGGCTTTGTATACGCTGCTTACTCCCTTAACCTATAATCATGATAATGAGACGATGCAAGACCGTCTTGTTTATTGCTAATATTATCTTACAATAACATATTTCTAGTTTAACAGCAAGGTTTTATTCAGTCAGTAGTCCCGGTTTTAGAGGGGCGTATCTAACGTTCTAATTGCGAAATCTAATGGTTTAATAGTAAGGTTTTATTCAGTCAGTAGTCCCGGTTTTAGAGGCGCATAGCTAACAATCCAATTGCGAGGTCTAATGGTTTAATATTAAGGTTTTATTCAGTCAGTAGTCCCGGTTTTAGAGGGGCATAGCTAACAATCCAATTGCGAGATCTAATGGTTTAATAGTAGGGTTTTATTCAGTCAGTAGTCACGGTTTTAGAGGGGCATAGCTAATAATCCAATTGCGAGATCTAATGGTTTAATAGTAAGGTTTTATTCAGTCAGTAGTCCCGGTTTTAGAGAGGCATAGCTAACAATCCAATTGCGAGGTCTAATGGTTTAATATTAAGGTTTTATTCAGTCAGTAGTCCCAGTTTTAGAGGGGCATAGCTAACAATCCAATTGCGAGATCTAATGGTTTATTAGTAAGGTTTTATTCAGTCAGTAGTCACGGTTTTAGAGGGGCATAGCTAATAATCCAATTGCGAGATCTAATGGTTTAATAGCAAGTTCTTGAGAATTCAGAAGTCCCGATTTTAGATTGGCATAGCTACCATAGGAAAAGTGATATTTATAGTTTCCTAGAGTTACGATTCAATACGGGCATAAGAAGCGCCCTATTTTCTAGGTTAATGCGATACTCTTGATGATGGGGCTTCATACAACGATCAAAAAATATAAAAACGGCTGGCCTAACAAGAAGTAGCTAAGCAATCTTCTTCGTGCAATTGTACCTTATGTGCAATAGCTGAATATGAAAAGGTGGGAGGAGCATTGAAAAGCAGATTTTTTGCAATCATAGAAAAAACAACGTAATGTTCCGTAATGCATAAAAAAAACAACGTAAATTGTTTTTTTTATGCATTAATGCAACAATATGTTAAATGTGAACTTTATGGTATGGCTCTGGCAAAAGAGACGAAAAAAGGCTGATTTTTTCATTGTTTTTTGCATTTTATATGTTTAATGGCCCTAATTCCACCATTGAAATGTGTCAAAAGATTGCATCAACTAATCCTTCATAAAACTGACGGGAAAGTTCAAATCGAAATGAAACTTCGTATAATTAATGTTTATACTATCAGAAAACAAGATTTAGAAGTTTCATTATAAAATCAAAGAACAATGTTTGTTGTGAGTCGTGACTGAACTTAAATGGCCAACTCTTATAATTTGCTCTCTTTCTCATCGGAAACTTGTGGATAGCAGCAAGAGAACAACTATTTAACCAAAAATAATAGTTTGTTGTATGCCTATTGGAAGTTGTCTTTGCCTGAATTCTAGATCTATGTGTTTTTGCTTATACTGAATTGATAGGGCGGCCTAGATATCATTGGTGATTGATTGTTCCCCCTTTAAATCTACTTTGGTAAGAAGCTTAATAATTTTGATGAATATGTTGAGTAAATTATACAATACACTAGTTATGTAGGGATTTTACTAGAAAACATTATTGATGTTGTGATGAAGGTTGTATTTTACCCGTTGGGCAGGCAAAATATTTGTCAACAAAGTATTTTGGTCTTTCCCCCTTTGACTGCATTACCCACATGTTACATTAAAACTTCTGTTGCATGTTCCACAAGGATTTTGTAATGCCAAGCCTAACATCATGCTAGCACCCAACATG